ATGGCGGCCGGAGCAGCGAGTGGGGGGGCCACGGGGGTGGCACAGCAGGGCAGGAGGAGCCATGGAGGGGGAGAGTTGGTGCAGCCGGAGGAGGAGCCAAGGGGGCGTGGCCAGAGGAGGAGCAAAGGGGGGGCGCCTTTTTTATCTCTGCTCCCCCTTCTCTTAAAAGCTGGCTACGCCACTGCACTGGGGTGTCCCTACACAGGTACAAGTACTAACATCAATGGCTGCCTTTTAGCCATAGTTTTTAATCAGGCCAATAAATTGATACAAATCCCTGTTAAATCATTTCTCAGGCCGAGTCCTTCACCCACATTCCTTAGGGCATTGGGCCACCATGTGGACGTTTCATTTCCCGCCTCAATTTCACACAGAGACACAATTTCCTTTGCACAGATCCATGAACAGCGAAATCTTCCTGTGTCTGTGGTCTGAGCCAGGAGGTTCGATTCCAGTGAACCTTCTCTCCTGCAATGGTGATGGTCAGACAGAGGGGACGTGGCACCTTCATCCCTGCCAGGGAGATATTGGCTCGGCTCTTCATGCTGCTGTTGTTAGTCCATGAAACGTCAAGGATGGAATGCAAGGCTGAGTTCACTCACCAACCCCGTGAAATATTTCAGTGCCCCAGAGAAATCCTGCCCCCTGCTATTGGGATGCTGGGCTGGAGATTTGAATGGAAAAGGGACTGTCTGAATTGTCACCCTGGGGAATGAAGAACAATCTACAGCAATGTCGTTAACACAAACACACTCTCATCCTGCTCCAGCCGGAAGGGAAATGGGCAGGAATTCTCGCTGTTCAGCCAAGGACACACTTACACTGACGCGCAGCCGTGAGTGTGCTGGGGAAGCTGGTCTGAGCAAACAATCTGAAGTGACAATTCAGTGAGAACAGAATCATCATGTAGTAAAACAGCCATATATCAAGTAGTTGTGGCCGAGTGGTTAAGGCGATGGACTAGAAATCCATTGGGGTTGCCCCGCGCAGGTTCAAATCCTGCCAACTACGGAAGGACAAAACTGTTATTATTGCTGTAGTTTTAGTGCCTGAGCATCCACAGTGAGAACTGGAGCAAGATCTAGTTTCACTCTGTCTATACTTAACCGCTGCTGTGACACTGCTATAGCATTTCGGAGTAGACAGTGACTGGAGGGGTTTTCCCATCCCTGACAGAACAATTCTCCCTTTTATTTAGCACTATCTAACCAGGTCTTAGGTCACCTTAACTCTACTGGTTGGGGGGTGTGTGTGGATTTTTCACACCTGGAGAGACGTCGCTCTGCCAGTGAAGTGCCCAGCGTACACCAGCCCTTAGATCCCCCTTGGTATTTCAATGCAGGCACTGACCTGTGCGAGGAAAACATCAGCTCACAAACACAGAGACTGAATTCCCCACATTTAATCTCTCTGCACTCTCCAGAAAGTCACAAAACTCAATTCATTCTTGCTAGGACAGAGAAAAAATAAGAGACACTAATTCTTAGGCTTGAGTAAATAAAGTTATGGGTTTAATTAATATAGTAAAAATTAGGGCTGTCAATTAATCACAATTAATTCAAATCTACGATCATAAATTCAAATCTACGCTCATAAGCAAAACCCCCACCCCAGAGTACGCTGGGCAGTGTCCTTTACCTCACCTCACTTTCTCACCTTGCCGTGTGACAGGCCACTCCAGTGTTCCTTTAACAGACCCCTCTGTTCTCCTTCCACCAACCCCCTCCCCTTGGGCAGCAAAGGCCCCGGGGTGGGGGAGGGAGGGGAAGGCATCGAGCGATACCTCAGCTTTTGCTGCCACCACTCCCTCAATGGGCTCTCGGTTTGCCCTGTTCACTCTGTGTCGCTGCCGCACCACTGCATTGTCCTTCACCCTGGTGCTGAGAGCTCCTGTGTCGCCCCTTCCCCTGCTGCCACCTGCCTGTCTCCTGCAGCCTCCGCGTGACCACGTAGTGGGGGAACCTCGCTGCAAGTGCAGACTGGGCAGCCTCTTTCATTGCAACACCATGGGCGGGGCGCGAACCGCGAGCTGGGGGAGACTAACCCTCTGCCCCGCCCCTTCTGCCCGAGGCCCCGCCCCTTCCACAAACCCCACTGGTGCCCAGAGCCCCTGCACTGCAGCACCCAGCTCCCGCCCCAGGCTAGTGCCCCAGCCCCATTGTGCCCCCAACCTCCCTCCCAGCTCCAGAGTGGGCGGTGCGGCCCCAGCTTCCCCAGCCCCGGAGCCCCAGGAGGGCGGGTTACGCGGCTCCGACTCACCCTGCCATTGACTTTCGTGGCTCTGCGCTCCGTCAGCCGGGGCGGGCCAGGCTGCGGACGTGGCTGCGTTTCCCTGACGAGGACTGAGGCAGGCCAAGAGCTGTGTGCAGCCTACAGGGAAGTGGGAGGGAGGCGTCTTCGAGCCGGTGTGTCTTGTCCGTTTCTCCCTTGCCCCTTGGGCGGAGGCGGGAAGGGAGCGAAATGTTCCCGGCTGAAGGTTTTGCGCTCGGCCTTGAGGATTAAGACCGAGCCCCCGGCATGGCTGCTGGGAGATGGGTTTCTGAGTCGCATCCAGCTCACTTTTCGGGCCATCAGCTGAAACCAGTGAGGACAAGGGAGACATTTTTGAGGTGGCAAAAGGGGGCCTTTGAGGTTCCCAGCAGGTCATGAGGATCAAAGAAGTAACAAATGGCTATTACCATCCCTGGGTGGGCTTGAACCACCAACCTTTCAGTTAACAGCCAAATGCACTGACCC